TTCCCAATTCTTCTCCATCCAAAATCTACAGGCTACGTGCAACTACGATCAGCCAATCCACATGATTATCCGCTTGTGTATGGCAACTAAATACTTCACCGATCCCGAACAACACGACATTAACACTCTTGTGGCCTCCATAAGGTATATCCAGAGACTGGCAAGGACAAAGCCGTTTCAAGAAATAGGATCTCGACTTAACCCAAATCGAATACCGGGCTGTGAGCTGCATGTCTTTGATAGCGACAATTATTGGAGATGTGCGCTTCGATCAATTGGTATTCCTTTTCACCATTCAGTAGGAACTGTCAAGATGGGGCCTTCGGATGATCCTACATCTGTAGTCAATCACGAGTTGCAGGTCTATGGAGTGAAGGGATTGAGGGTTGCTGATTGTAGTGTGATTCATTTTGCTGTGGGAGCTCATACAAACGCTGTAGCGGTCATGGTGGGGGAAAAAGCAGCAGATATTATAAAAGAAAATTGGGGAAAACTGACGTAATGAAGTCTATTTGTAGCATAAAACCTTAAAGGAACTAAAATTTAAATTTGAACGAATTTTACTCGGTTGTTTTCAGTAGATCGCGTCTATACACACAGTCAGTTACAAGGTTCTTTCTTTTTTTACTTAACGAGGGTAACCTATGTATGAAACAATAGATCCCGTTTCCGTATGTCTGTGGTTTGTCTATATCAATTTTTATTAGACAGATAATCTCCGAAGCTATTAGAATGATTGTAGGTGGAAAAACGCCAACCAAAGGTTGTCTAATCATCCCACCAACGATTTGATGACGTCCCTCAACAATTTCCGTAAAGGTTATCTAAATTTTATAACACAATACTGTCCTGTACTCGTGGTTTATGAATTCGCTTTGATTTTATCACAAGTACTATACAGGTTTTTTGTTGTGCAATATTTTCCACGTGTTTCATGTGGGCGATCTCTCGTTTAGGCATCAAAGTGGAGTGCGATACGCTGATGGATTGTCGGTCTTATGCTCTGCTCGTATCGATTCGTATCAAATGTTGTTTTTACACTGTATTTTCTGAGTTTTTTACTTATATGTATGGTTTATGATAAAATAAATAAAACTCTGAAGAATCAAATTTTATCATTTTCCGAAAAAACTAAATCTGTTCGAGGGAAGGGAACTTCTGTCTAAATAACCTTGGATCAATTTTTGCCCTGCGTCTTTATGCTCGACGGGAGATTTATCTTTTCAAATATAAGATATTTCAAAACAATTTTTGGCTTCAAAGTAATCCTAAGATGTTTTTCATTTTAGAAACAGTCCCCTTGCCATAAATTTTCACCTTAGAATATGGAAGCACAAATTTGTTGAAATAATCCTATTGCAATACTTCCATTACTGGTGAAGTAAAAACGAGAAAAACAACATTTCGAATTATTGTCTTATTACTTTCCGAGAGTCCATCGGGCGACTTGCTACTTTCATGTTTTCTCCACATTTCAAAACCCCTAGAGCACGAAAACAGTGGTTTCCCATTTCCGCCTGTGTTTGTACCAAAGTTTGTCTCCATCACCAATGGAATGACGTCATCTCCAAAGTTTACAACAGTAAATGTTACTCTATTTAAATTTTATAAAATAAGATACCCCTGCACTTGTGGTGTATGCATCCACGTTGAGTTTTTATTCTAGACATTCAGATTTTTCAAAAAAAAAAAATGTATAAGATTTTGCAATTTAATTTTGAAACTATACAACCGATTGCTCTGAAATTCTGCAAACGTTTTAAGGTTATCGTAAGCATGGTAAATCGTTAATCAAAATTTATTCGTTTATCCCCTCCCAAAAATTTGAATATAATAAATCCTCTCTCAAATAGGCAAAATATTATGAATCTATACTTGTGTTTTATCAATGCACATCATAGTTTTTAGAATTATTTATACAAAGTGACTCAAAAAAATTAATGAATGAAGTAATATATATTACTGAAAAAATGAAGAACGACTCACTCCATTTTCCAAAAAATTTAGGAATACAACATAATTATTGCTGTTAAACGGCACTTATCCAAATTAATATATGTATAATTTATATGTCTTGCAAAAATATTCATGACGAAATTTTGTAATGAAAAAACTGACTTGAAACAAATTCTTAGCACGCTTCATTACCTTTACTTTAACTTAAGTACTTATCTTTATTTTAACTTACAAGGTTTACCACAAAAAAAATTAAGTTTGCAAAATCAAATTTTATCATTTTTTCGAGAAAGCTTGATTTGTCAGGGGCGAGGGAAGTTCTGTGGAAATAACCTTCGACCAATTTTTATATAATGTCATTTTGTTTATCAGCGTTGGTAATCAGTATTTTATACGAATAGTTTCTTTAATCACGCAGCAAACAGTCACACTGAATGAAATTCCATTTGGACCAGTTGTAAAAAACACGTATGAAAATGAATTAAAAAAAAACAACAATCCACTAGCTTAAGAACATCAATAAAAGCGGTGAGATTACCGGTTACGATCGACCACGTATAAAATCAAGAATTGGCATTGCATAGAATTCCACCGACGTAAAAGGAATACCACATATTCCACAACAGCGAAAATATAGGTGTTTGTTATTGGATAAAATGAAATTCATTCTAATAAATTAACTCATTTTTTTAGGTTCCTTTTTTTTATTTTTCTTACAACACATTTCTAAATAGAATTTTAAGTGACCTAAAGGCGACAACACTGTTCGACATACTAATTTTGTCTCTTACCCTCCGCCCCCCTGTTAGCATAGTTCGATAGCATTTATCTACGTGACCGGCATTAATTATGTGACGCCTAAACCAGTTGTATTCTTAATGTATTAATTATTTATATTATTTATTTTATATACAATTTCGTAGATTTCGCGAAACTGTCATCAGCTGTTAGCAAGAATCCTATTCCGAACAATTTAAAAGAAACGAATGTCAAAATTCATTTTGTAAAAAATCGATAGAAAATACGTTGAACTTCTGTACCAAATGAAATAAATATATCCAGAAAGATGATATAATATTTCAAAAACATTAACTAATTATTATTAAACTTTGTTTAAACAACTATAATTACCAGAGCATTTATTACGATTTCTGATACCGCTACTTCGTTAAAAAGATGTATCATTCTAACCTTAATGTTTTACCAAAAAAAAAATCTATGATTATTTAGACAGACCTCTCCTCCTCCCTAAAGTGCAGTCCAAAAAATGCAGTTTCTTCGAAAATTGTAAAATTTGATTTTCCGAATTTTATTTTTTTATGCTAACCCCTATAAGTTATAAGAAAGGTATGTGGGCAGTGTTAAAGTGCAGGTAAAGAAACACCCTGTAAAAATATGTACATAATTCTAAAAATATGAATGCATTGATAAACCACAAGCATAAGTTTTTGGCAAAATTTTGCCACGACGTCATCAACTTTTTGGGAGGGATGAACGGATAAATTTTAATTACCAATTTTACAGTGCCTAGGATATCCTTAAAACATTTGGACTCGATTACAATCGAATACAAATCCAATACAATTTTTACTATGATGAAATCCAGTTAAATTTTTTAAGGTATGTTTTCTCGAAGCAATTTGTCGATTATTCATTCCATTATCCAACGAAAATTAAACCTTTGTTGACAGCGTTTTAACTTTTTAATGGAACGTTAACATTTTTCTTCATTTTACATATCATGTGCTTTGCAAACGTTTATGTATTTGAAATATCTTCTTTCTTACAACATATGACAAAAAATCGTTGGTTTTGGAAAATCTTCACTGCATTTTTAATTTATCGTTTCATTGAGATAGGCAACAAATCATTCGAGCTTGATTATTGGTTGCTTACCTATCACACAATGAACCACTGAAAATCCATAACAAAGTTAGGTTATAATGCATTAATGATAGAAATAAAAAAAGAACAACACAAAATGTGAAACATATTGTTTGCATATGTTAATGATCATCTCACACGATAACTAGAAAAAAAACGAAGAAGTTTTTCCTTGGTGTTAAGTGTCTGCAGATAAGCTCCCCTTATCTCCCACGCCCCTTACAACGTCTGCATCATGATCACTGATCAAATTCATCTGAACTGAATAAGAAAACATTTATTTCGATTTTGTGACTTTCTTTTCCCAAATATTCATCGACTTGAAAGTTTCAATTTTCTGGTAGAAAACAAAAAAAGAAACTGTCAGACTTTAAAGTGGTTTTAGTTAAACACACTACTGGCAGTTTCGTTCTTGTGAACCTAAAGACCAGTTCAAATCGATGCTTCGTCAATAAAGGCGAAATTTCAAAATATGTATGTCGATGCAATTACTGTCAAGCGAGTTCTTCTTCTGCCTATTTTTTTACTAGCAGTTCTTATAATTGTTATCGTCTTTGGAATTCCTTAAGTTAATAATAATAATGTCAATGTCACAAATATCTACTTCCAAAGTCGTTAAAGCGGGCAATAAAAATAAAAGCTCTTTCCGGTAATTCATTACAACGTCATTTCCAAACATTATGTAATTTTAACGAGTATGCATGAACCGAAACCGGTCAGCGGGTCACTTGTTTAAATCGAACGTAGTGACGTCACACAAAATCCCCGAGAAAATGCCTGATGCAACCGGTATCTCGCTAAAAAACACCAAAATTTACACATGTTTATACGCACACCCTCAGGCCATTTTCTACGGGAAAACCCCACAGTAAATAAGGGAAATTCGCTAACAACACTCAATTCATTGTTTGTATCAAACAAAAGATCATTTTTAATCCCTTTTATCGCCCATCCCATTTAGCTTTTTAGGTTGGCGCCACAAATCCTGACCTAAATGTCAAACAAACACGGACCTTTAAATCTCAAAAACCCTCACTAAAAAATTCACAAAAAAAGGAGGCCCGCCCTCGACGACTATTCAGTATTCACATATTTCCAGTGTAACATGCAGTGAACAGCATTCGACACATCAACCCCCAAACAACCCCAATTTAACCTACCTGAAACGATGAGGGCTTCATTCGGACCGACTGTGTGTATATTACCCATTTTGCAGACACAAACACTTCCTGGTCACCAGTCAAACAACTCACCGACCGACTTTTTTCGAAATTGCAGGTTAAAAGAAAAATTTTCGTCGTATTTTTTTTATTGAGAAACAATCCTCTACAACATGCTACGAGCTACTGGCGTGCGCACGCGCAGCTGTCAAAGCGCGTATGCTATCCTAATTTTTATCAGGACTGGGCCGAATGATAATGGGTATTTTTAGCCATTTGTTGGTCAAAAATAAGGGCGAGTGTTGTGGGTTTTGTGGGATCGTATGGTAAAGTTGGTCAGTGCGCATCAGGGGCGTCCGCGTCGATAAAGAACAGAACAGGACCGGACTGGGGTGTAAGCAACAGAATTTAAATCAGGGGTGGTATCTGATGGAAATAAAAATAAATACACTAATAAATACTTTTAATGGTATACTACAGTCTGTAAAGTTTTTGGAGAACGCTAAGCAAAACGACACCTTATTTTCAGAATGTAATAACTAATTGTTGACTCATTTCATTTTAATATACATACCTACCTACCGGTATACAAATAAAAACAAAACTCCTATTTTAACAAATTATAGTATCTGTTAGTTATAAAAACGTGTTTCACCTGTTTTCGTGTAATTTTTTATTGTTATAAAATGATGCACTTTTTTGCTAATTTGTTAATTACTCCTTCTTAATTATTTAGGTTTGTTTATTTATTTATTTTTCTGAGTAAGGAAATAGTTATTTGTATCACAAGCACAAGGTCAGCCACTAGACTTTGCGAATATTAGTGAATTTGTCGGGCCGAATCGATAGATTTTTTGTCCCGATTCTTAAATAAATACAATTGTTATTATGTATTGTTTTTAACGGTAGATAATTATGGAAATGAAAATATATAAACAACCCTCCATTGCCGAAAGTAAATAGGACCAACCCGACGTCCGAGAGTCGCTTAGTGCTGAACACTTTTATCTCGTCTTTAAAGGATTTTTTTAACATTGTGTTCATTATTTACTTTATTTATTTCTAAAATAAGTGGTACATGTGTATTTTAACATTAACTTATCAGTGACAGAAAGATAAGCGATAATACCAACCGATATCGATAACAATAATTAATAATCATAAGAATATTCCTAGATTTTTGCTAAACTAGTCCAACAAATTCTAGTTAGAGACGTATCGAGAACCAATGATGCGGACCGGAAGTATAAGATAGTACACAATAATAATACGTACGATTTTATGTCAAAACCTTCTTGGACAACAAATTTAAATAATCATCCAATACAACACTGACTCTGTTGTTCCAGCATAAATGAGGAAATTATTACATTTTCAGCTATTATTCCAGTATTATGAGAAGGTAAACCGTCTTCCGAATTAAGAATATTTCTGGATATTTGTCTCCACCTACGTTTTATTATGTTAGACTAAAAGTGCTCTCTTTCGTTTGGATTTTATAAAAAGTTAAACTGTAAGAATGAACAAAAACTTTCAATTTATTTATTTCATTGTTTATTTATATGTTTATTGTTTCTTATAATTGTCCAGGTAAATAGAACTAGTTTCATGTTTTTGGGGATAAAATGAGCGATTTAATAAGGTACTGAAACATTCAGTACTACTTAGTTAATGTACACCGCTATGCAGAAAAAAAGACATACGCTTACGTTTTAGTTGTGTAATTTAATCTTTATTCTAAAATATGTATATTTATATGGTAATGTAGTAATAAGTAATAACAGTGAAAGACTCTTTTCACATAAATTAAATTCTGCAAAATTTGCTTTAAGGTCTTGCACGTTTTTCTTTTCACAATAGAAGTGTACTTTTCTTTCTATCTCTACCAAATAAGTTAAAACAAAAGCAAAATGCACGACTATTTTTTACTGCAACAAAAAAAAACGAAAACTTACGTTAGTTTTTATCTTCAGGAAACTATTTTTTCGTACTTCAACTCATTTTCCAGAGTGATGCGTCTTGTAAGTGATATGAACGATCCTGATACATTTTTTTCATATTATTTTCTGGTTCTGCTTCTACAAATATAGGATCCGGAGATGCAGGTGAGGTAAAAATGTAGGTCCATTTAAGCTCGTTGTCTTTTGTGAAATTTCTTTATTTGCTTCTTTGCCTATGGTTTTTTCAATCCACCCTTATTTTTAAACTTACTTATTAATCAGTTTTAAGAAATAAATTCAAAACACACACATTGAGGTTACCGTTGTGATAACCCAAACATCCCGCCGACGCGACGGCTGTAGCCCGCCTTAAATTGACATGTGAAAAAAAAATTGAAAACCCGCGAAAAATTCAAAAATACAAAATTTGGCCTTCGCTGTGATCGTCTAACAAAATGGAACCCTACGTTGTGTTTTTAAAAAGTGACGGGATGCGTTCAGATGCAAATGGTGGACCCCAAGGTTGGAAAAGTACCGCTAAATAAAACACAAAATTTATGGAGGACGCAAAATGATTTATTCCTCCACTGAAACGTTCTGAATCAATGCAAATATTTGAATATCACAAATTTAATAAAAACAAAACATGAAGTAAAGTAACTGGATGCAAATACACAAGTTATTATGGGCGTGTGGCGGCAAATTTAAAAATTATGGCAGTCAACAAGAGAACAAAATTTTAATAAACAAACTATGCAGCGGCAGCGGCATCAGAGGGCTATAAGAGTGTGGCATTGGGGGCGTTGTAGCGCGAGCGGAGTTTGGGCCTCCTGGTCGTGGCTATTCTCCTACCCACGCCGGTGATTCTACATATCTCAAGCACTGCCGCAAAACACTTCTCTATTACGGACATGCCATACGAGCAGGCCGTTACGGTTACAAACTCGCAGTTGAGTCCCGGCTATCACGAAGCCGACAGCATTACGTCATCTCGACTTGCCCTAACTCCTATTCTAAATCTGACAACTCGAAGTTTCTATAACTTTGACATTAAACTACAACTGAACAAGTGTTAAAGTTCAAAACGAGCAATAAACAACATTTAAATTCGACATACATACATGAGATAAAGAAAAATTGCATGAGGTGAAAAATTACAAAGCTAACAAAATTTACATAAGGGTGTGGGGAGAAAAAATCTGCACAAATTTTAATTTACCGAAAATCGAGTTAGCTTTGAGAAAAATGACGGTTGACGTTATGACATTTTTTGGCAGTTATTAAAAATTGTTATGCCTAGTTCCTCTTGAAAGTTTCAATATTTTTTGTAATAATGGAAGACTTAAATGAAAATGATCGCCGATCTGTGATTGCCAAATTTTATAGAAAGCATATGCATTTAAAAAAGTCATTCACCGTTAATCACTTCTTCCAAATAGGGATATAAAAAAGGACAACTTATAGCATTTGCAGAAGAGTAGAGAATGGGAATTCGGTAGAAAGACAAGTAGGAAGCGGAAGACCAGCAAGAAAAATGCCCCAGAAGAAGAGAGAAGCCTTAGTCAATCAAAGTCACGGTAAACTTGGTGTTTCACTAAGAAAGCTGGGACGGAAATTTAAAATCGACAAAAAGTATGTTAGCAACATATTAAAGGAGAATAATATTAAACTTGCAACTCGAAAATCCGCTCCCAAATATTCAGAAAAACAAAAGTTGGAACAAAAACGAAAATTAAGGCATCTTTCTGAATCCGCTTTTTTTCCCTCAAATGGTACTGAAATAATCATCGATGACGAATCCTACTTCACTTTTGATGGTAGCGATACTGCTAACAATAAACATTTCTATTGTAAGGAAGGAGAAGAAGTAGATGGGAAAGTGAAATTCAAACGTCACAAAAAATTTCAGTCCAAGTTGTTGGTCTGGTTGGCCATTTCTTCACGTGGACATTCTACTGCGTTTATTTGCCCATCTGGAAATTCTGTTAATGCAGATATTTATGAAAAATAGTGCATTAGGTCTCGACTTGTCCGTTTTATAAGAGAAAAGCATTCAGATGGCAATTTTGTATTTTGTCCAGACATGGCAACAGCTCATTACGCAGCTAACGTTATTGCTGCATATAATTAGTTAAACATTCCTTTTATCCCTAAGGATAAAAATGTTCCGAACGTCCCTCAACTACGCCCAATTGAACGTTTTTGGAGAAATCTAAAGAGGAATGTGTACGAAAATGGATGGGAAGCCTCGACACATGCAGAATTAAAGAAGCGTATACTGCTGAAAATACGGCAAACAAAAATATCGGCTTTTACAAATTTAATGAGCCGTATTAAAACAAAAATTCGTAAAGCAAGCAGATATGGTGCAGATTGTGTTCTTTAAAGTTGTTTTTATAAATGTTGTTGATCACATTATTAATACATGCTTTTATAATACAGTTATTCTAGTTTGAAATTTGTGCAGATTTTTTGTCCCCACACCCTTAAGATTAATATCTGCCACACTCTATCAACGATTCAAACAAAGAATTTATATGATGCTACATTATACCATGATCCAAGTGATTGGTTACTCATAACAATTTGTTTTAAGGGTTTATATCGTGAACTGTTTATTCCAAACAAAACACATGGTAAATAAACACAAAATGCATCAGGCATTGCGAGGAAGCCTCCTCGGTGATGTAGTTTTTAGTGTTGCGAGAAAGTTATCTCGGTGATATGTGTGCACATGATGATAATAACGATGATAATTCCATTGTCACATTTAATTATTAGCATCCAGAAACTTTATTCGTAACTTGATTTAATTTCATGAAATCTCCCAGTAAGTGATTTATCTAAATAAATCTAATGTCTATTAAATTGTGTTAGCACCAGTTAACGATTAAAATCCTAACCTGATCTGTGACTTTACAAATAATGAATCAAATTTACACGTGTTAGCGTCGGTCAAAAATTCATTTTTTTCCCCGATTAGAAAGCCGCAAGAATTAGCTACACGCGTTGGGGAATCACAACACACATCCCAAAAAAGTGACGCTTTCACCTCTATACCAAGGCGCCATTTTTGTCCCTACCAACCCTCTAACTGGAATTTCCTAGCGAGCTACCAACTACCCAAAAAGCATTACCGTGCATATGGTTGCCTATGTTTAACGATTTTTTTGATTGATTTTTTTTCAAATTCAAATTATTCAAATGTGATTTCGTGCCGCTGTTAATTTTTTTCAGTGCAAATTTTAATTCAAATTCGCTGGTTTATCCAGGAGGTAGAATAAGAGAAACGAAGATAATTTGAAAAAGTGGAAGGTGCCGCGCTTTCGACTAGAGCCATAAATGGCTCCCCCTTGTCGGGAAACGGGCCCCAATATGTAACAACCAAGCAAATGGTAAGATGGTTTACTACCTAAACCTGTGACCCATAGATATACCTATAACTTCTATATTACTTAATTAGTGGCCTTAAACTCAAAAGTTTCGGAATTCAAAACGACAAAGCAATATATCGGGCCTCTCTCACTTGATAAGATTGTACTCGTACTATGCATGCACTCATACTCCGTGTGAATTGAAGTAGGTATCTTATTAATCGAAACGTTATCTACAATGTCTACAGTACCGACTGGAACTTATTTTTCGTCATTTTCGGATGCCTGTGTATTGGTTTTACTCTAGTTTTTGCTAATAATGTGTTAGCCGCTCTTAAGTCCTAAACAGCAACTATCAAAAGTAATAATAATAAATAATTAATAATTATGTGGTTACACTGAGGTTATTTTATGTTACTGGTACAATGAACCATATTCTCTGTGTTATTTTATTTACATGGGTTCACCCCTATAAAAAACGGACGATATCATCTCAAAATTTCACAATATGCTTACATCTCATTTGAATTGTGGAGAACTTCTGTAGGTACACATAATTCCCATGATACCCCTTTTTTTTCAAAAACCGTTTAGTTAATTTTCCGGAAATTCTAGGAACACAATACTGTTGTTGTTTAGTGTTACAATATATATAATAGGTAGTGAGATACAGTGGCGACCAAAATAAAGTAGGAGACCTCTTGAAAGATTTTTTTTTAATTTAGTTGTGTACACTGGACTCACTTGAATAGGAATTCATCACGGCTGCTGTATTCATTAACAATGACATTTAAATGTCAATACAAATTTGAAATTTACATTGAGGAAAGAAATGTGTCCAGCTTTTTTTTTATTAAAAAAGTTTGTGAAAAAGATTTCACTTAAAACACACGGCATAACATTATTATTAGTAATAGTAATTTAATAATCCACCCCCTTTTTTTCACTTATTATTATTACTTTTAAAATTTATCTATCAATTGCCACCAACATTTTGACCATGCCATTTCAAAAGTTTGCGAACCATGATTTTTAGAGTTACAGATATAACAAAAAATGTATGGACCATGGATCTACCCATTCATGCAAGGGGAGTTCTATTTTTAAATAACTTCAGATCGATTTTTCTACTTAGTTTTATTTAATTTAGCGAAGTATTTATCGAACAGAAAAATGGGCACACAGTATTCAAAAATGCCAACTTGTTTAAACTGTCACAGTTTTCATTTAGTCTTACCATAAAATACTATAAATAAATAAACTACTGATAAATTTGAATTGATTCCAGTCCAGTTGGTCCTTTCACATCTGGCTATAGGGCGACGATCAGTCAAACTGTGGTAATCAACATCCTGTTCAAAATTATAATTTTTTTCGACGCAAAGTGATTTGTAATGCATTACTTTTCAAAAAATGTAATGAGTAATTGTAACGAATTACTTTTTTTGAGTAATTCCGTCACTTTACAATTACTTTTAACTCAAGTACTCAAAAATATTGTTTTGTTTTTCTATACAAATCATTTACCTGTCTTGCTGGGATTATAAATACCTGGTTTGTCCCCATAAAGACAAGCCCAGTAGGGAGTTAAAATCTAAAACGCGTTTAGCAAAGAATTTGTTAACCATAATATACATAAGCTCTTCATCATTTTAAGGGTGAGCTCAGGCATATTCCAGCATAGGGAAATACATATAAACTTCTGCCCAAGTTTTTACCAAAAGTACACGTCCGATTGTAATAAACCATTGAAATGAGTATAAAAAATCCTACCCAGACTGCTTTTCCGTTTTTAAAATTTTCTTGTCAAAAAAAACTACAACGCGTTAAAATTGTGATGAGTATGAGATTATCTGGTTTTCGCTATTTATGGATCGATTTTAAATTTTCAAAAAGGTACATTACTAGAAATTGTATTAAAAAATCCATTGCGCTTTACAGAAATAAAGCATTTTATAAATAATTGAGTAAACAGGGGCAGAATATTTAAAATTAGTGATCAAAAAAACATCGGCCATTTTTCTGGTCCACTCAAATCTATAAGAGGTAACCGATAGAGCCCGTCCTTTTAAACCCCTCATAATCGGACAATTTCAATCTTCAATTTTTGGTAAAATATGTAACATGTTGCCCCACAACAGTTCCATCTAGCGCCGCAGTGGAAAGGATGTTTAGTGTTGGCGCGGATGTTTTTAAGACAAAACGTTATGCCTTAGCTGACGAAAATTTTGAATGCCAGTTACTATTGAATTTAAATTATTAATATAGTCCTCTTCATTTGATTTACTGATGTGAATATGTAACAAATGCGTTAGTAAAAAATAAATCGCTCACTGCCTTTTTTATTCTAGCACGTTTTTTCTTGACCCTCTGGACCCATAGAACAAATATCTAAAATTGTGTCTTCATCAACTTTTTCAAAGTGCAAAAAGTAATTGTTATAGTAATACATTACTTTGTAAAAGTAATGAGCAATTGTAATGAATTCCTTCAAAAAAAGTAATTTGTAATAAATTGTAATGAATTACTATTGTTACTGAATAATGAGTAATTGTAACGCATTATCTTTTTAAAAGTAATTGTTCCAATCGTTGCTAGAAATGGACTGATTTCGTGAAGTCTGAAGGTGGAAAATGACTCATTCTATTGTACCTCCCCGACTGCTTTGGAATCTCTTCCAGTCCTGACCTGTTCCTCGTTTGACGTTTCTTTGCCGGGACGTATGTCTTAGATAAGGTTGTTTGTGGTGTGTTGGTGCAGTTGATGGGTCCTGCTTGAATTTTCCAAGAAATCGGATTGATAAAAAACGGTAAATCCACTTGTTTTTACAAGTAAACAATCAGTCAATAATAAAAATCCCCTAGTTAATTTCCCAGGTCACTCCCTTGCATACATAACCTTATTTTGTTTATTTTGTAGATTTGACGTTTAGTTAAAAGACTATTAGTTTTATTTGATTTTAGAAGTATTTATAAGCATAATGGGTGATACGAGCGATTTAGATCGACAAATCGAACAGTTGAAACGATGCGAAACGATCAAAGAAGGTGAAGTCAAAGCTTTGTGTGCGAAAGCTAGAGAAATCCTTGTTGAAGAGAGCAATGTACAGAGAGTAGACTCACCTGTTACAGTAAAATGTTAATACTCATTCAAATAACAGAAATAAAGGGTCAAATTTTAGGTGTGCGGAGACATTCATGGCCAGTTTTATGACCTTAAAGAATTATTTAAAGTTGGAGGCGACGTACCTGAAACAAACTACCTTTTTATGGGAGACTTCGTTGACCGCGGCTTTTATAGTGTTGAGACTTTTTTACTACTGTTAGCGTTAAAAGTAAGCTTCGATTTTCGTGAAAACATGGTCTAATTTGTTGCTCTAGGTTAGGTATCCTGATCGCATCACCTTGATACGAGGTAACCATGAATCACGTCAAATTACTCAAGTTTACGGATTTTACGATGAGTGTTTACGCAAATATGGATCAATCACAGTATGGCGCTATTGTACAGAAATTTTTGACTATCTTTCTCTGTCAGCTATCATTGATGGAAAAATCTTCTGTGTTCATGGTGGGTTATCACCTTCTATTCAAACTTTGGACCAAATTAGGGTGATTGACCGAAAACAAGAGGTGCCACATGATGGACCCATGTGCGATTTGTTATGGAGTGATCCCGAAGGTGTGATTTCTGTTTTTTTCGTTTTGTACAGAATCAAGCGTTTTTTTGCCTTTTTTTTTAGATACTCAAGGATGGGGCGTTTCACCTCGAGGCGCTGGCTATTTGTTTGGATCAGACGTAGTGGCGCAATTTAACTGTGCTAATGATATTGATATGATATGTCGAGCGCATCAGCTTGTTATGGAAGGTTACAAGTGGCATTTTAATGAGACAGTTTTGACAGTGTGGTCTGCTCCCAACTACTGTTATAGGTACACATATTTTATTAAAAATTTCGCAAAACCCTAATTCATAACGTTGTTTTAAATTTATAGATGTGGCAATGTAGCAGCTATTTTAGAACTAAATGAACACCTTCAGAGAGATTTCACAATTTTTGAAGCAGCTCCTCAGGAAACTAGAGGCGTGCCATCAAAAAAGCCACAAGCAGATTATTTTCTATAATTTAATCTTTAGTTTATTGTAACATATTATGTATCTTGATATAACTATATTATTTCGTTTCCTTTCATAATGGTTCCAGGATCTTTTTGTAGGTTTTGATTTTGTCATTTCATGTGTACTTTTTTTTGTATATTTAGTTTCGTCATCTAAATTAAACTGTACTTAGCGTAAATTAATTTATAAATATTGTATTCTACCGTTTACAGACTGCCAAATAAATTTTTTTTATAAAGTGGAAGTGGTTTTTTTTTACGGATGTTCCCGACTACGTTCAATCGGCGAAGGGAAAATTGTAAAAATAAACGTCAAGTGACACAAAAGTGAGGTTATGTCCAAATTTGTTTATAAATAATAACATCTGCTAAAAAAAAGCAGCGTTAATATATGTGTATTCGACTGTGTATATTTGATCGAAACATACCGCGTGAGGATCTGATTAATATAGGTGAATATAGAATGTGTGTTGTACGGGGAGGTGAAGTTATGTGGATGTTAATTTGTAATTAATTCGGGCTTTGCCGTTAGTAAAGACACCATAACATTGAAAAATATATGAACTCTGGTCCATTTTAATGAAAAATCTATGTTTTCCTAAGTTTTTCTGCTCAAAATTGAATAATATTGAAAAGTGAGGTTAAGCCTACAAAGTTTTTGAGCCTTTGAACGCACGTAACAGTTGGATTTAGTCTACCACTACACAGTTAAATCACATACGAAGACCTCCAAGTGTCCTTAACTCCTTACCAAAGCACAGATTTGACTACTTGGTGACGTTGGTGAAACTGAGGTTATATTTCCAAGTAATAGTTGCCAGATTTTTGATTTGTCGTTTCAAGATTAAGAACACTATAATGGCTAATAAGCAGTAAGTATTGTAACAACGGCGCGACATCCAATTTACGTCTTTTTTTTAAGATATGGTCTCATTGTTCCTTCAAAAGACAAAACCGTCATCCAACGCCCCTCGATTTTTGACGATTCCGATTCCGAGGAATCTGTCCCCACGGGATTGAAACGAACTCTTAAAAAACAGGACAAAATTACTCGGCACAAAGCGATTGAAGAGGACCCTACTGTATTTCAATACGACGAAATTTACGACGAAATGGATAAAAAACGAAAGGAATCAAAACTGAGTCGGAAAGATCTTGACCGAAAACCCAAATATATAAGCAGATTGTTGGCTGCTGCTGATCGTCGCAAGAAAGAAAATGAAAGGAGAATCGAAAGACAAGTTCAGAAGGAGAGGGAGACTGAAGGTGATGAGTTTAAAGACAAAGAAGCGTTTGTTACTAGTAGTTATAAGAAAAAGTTGGAAGAAATGAAGGAAATGGAGGAACAAGAGAAGAGAGAAGAGTATTTGGAGTCAATTGGAGATGTGCGAAAGCAGGGGAATTTAGATGGGTTCTATCGACATTTGTATGACCAGAAGGTAAATTATGAAGACAAAGGCAATGAAGGGGAAACTGCTGCAACAAAGGAAGAAAAAGATAAGAACGAGCGAAAATATAGGAAACACAAGGAAGAATCAGAGAGTGACAAAAGTGATACTGAAGAAACGAAAATGGAACACATGCCATCAAATTTGGATGCAGATTCAGACTTCAGTATTGATTCTTCTGATTCAGAAGAACCTGAAGAGAAGAAAAATGAGAATGAAGATGTCATTGTGAAAACAGAAAATGTGAAAGAAGAGCCAAATATAAATGAAGAATCAAAAAAGAATGAAGATCCTCCTGAAAGTATTGAAGAACCAGTTCCTGTTAAGAAACCAAAGATTGACATATGGAAGAAACGCACAGTCGGTGAAGTGTTCCATGCCGCTTTGCAACGATACTTTGAAAGAAAAGCCCTTCGAGAACTTTAATAAAGATGCACAATAAAGTAAAGAAAATGTTTATTGTAAGTTAAAGATAGATAAACTAAACATAATTATTTCACCCGTTTTTGTTGCCTTTGTCTATATATGTCGTTAGATGGGGGGAGGGGCATATCTTCATCGTCCGACCCATCCATTGCCAACCCTAAACGTTTCTTCCTTTTTATACCCACAGTGCCGCCTTCTTCGACTATCCAGTGCACAGATTTTGCTAAATCAAAAAGCTTTACATCGCATCCGTTTTCTGTAGGTTGTGGAACACTATCTGGTAACTGTATTCGGTTAAAAATGTCCATTAATAAATCAACATTGACAAAGGGTCCCCTGAAACAAGCTGGAGGAGGTAAAAGGGTGCATAAATGGGCTGCAACTGGAGGATGTGGAAACGAGCCCCCTAAAACAAAGTAACTCATTTTTTTTTTACAATAAATGGTTGCTTATGATAAAAATGTTAAATGCCAGTTTATTACGCGAGCCGGAGGTCGAGCGGGTGAGCTTCACGAGCTAAAAAACTCAATTGAAAATTTAAATTATTTTTGAGTGATAATTGATTAATTATAGTAATAATCAGTGAACGAAATCATAGTGCTGGTAAAGTATGCAATCTGTTTTTAAACATTTCCGTGGTGTGTCAAAATGAAATAAGTAACCGTGGAATTTTTGCGAGTCAGAATCAGAGGGTTAAAATAAGTGCTTTAGTGGCCTAGGGCATAAAATAGTTAATAATATTCTTATCTAAAAATATCTCGATATTTTCAAAGGCAATTTATTTACCATTTTTTCTTATGACGAATCTTAAAATTAAAAATCAAATTCGTACCTGGCACTGGGTGTTCTCCCGGCAACGGGTTCGATTTAGGTTTATAAGGAATCATTTGTGAATAATCAGGGATCGGAAGCGGCGCATCTCCATCACTGTTAATAATGGATTGTAAAATGTGATTTTTGCCAGCTCCTGTTATGTTGATAACTTCCGTATACCTAAAAAATTCACTTATTTTGGAGAAGGAAAAAATTGAATTGATACCCAATGCTCTTCAATTCGGTAGCGGTGCACGGATATAAGTCCAAAAACCTATATCTGTCCACTAATTGGGCCGTTTCTTTTCCCTCGAATTCTTTAATTTTCGATAATACTTCCGATCGCCTTTTTTCGACTTTGACGATGCTCTGGAGGTCGCCGATGTTGCACTCGAATTCAAGAAAGCGGTTCCAGATGTCACTGAAATGGAAGAAATTTGATTGAATGAAAAGCGTAAATTTGGTGTATCACGATTTTTTTATAGTAACACTTACGTCATCATATTACAACGTAAAACATCAAAGTACGACCCAAACAAACCTACTTACACAGATTTCTCCGGTTCCAGACTCCCCGACGACAAAACCCTCTCAAACAGCACCCTCGTATTATTATCCTCATTCAAATGCGACAAATAATCAATGTAACACGTAATATACTCTGGAATATCCCCAAACTTCTTCAACCCCAACTCAAATATCCTAAACGCAATGTTCTTGTCCTTACTGCAATAATATTCCATTAAAGCGGCACACACAAAAATGTGATACTTGGATCTATTATCTTCTCTCGCTCTCTTAAACACAGCTCTTGCAGACTTTATCCCTTCGGCACGCCGGGCAAATTTCATATACTGTATATACGCAAGAGTAGGATCTATATCTTGTATCTCTAGATACTTCTGATAGATTTGGTGGACTTTCTCATACTTGAGACGGCCTTCTTCGTAGTCCGCGTAAGCGAAATACAGTAACATGTTTTTGTTCAGTAGGGAACTTGTGGCACGTTCGAACATGTTTGCAGCTTCTTCACTAAAGAGTTTCGACGCATTCACATCCTGAAAAAGATTTATTAATTTTGTATGAGTAAGATTTGGTTAAACGTACCCCCTTTTCGGCTAAAATTTTACAACTGTATTCGAGAAATTGTGCCGCTTGGTACCATATATCGGGATGGTGGCCTAAGCAGAGAAGACATTGTTCGAGGGCAAAAACTACCCGTTTTGTCAGTAGGGCTGTATCTTCAGTGCGTAGAGGGTTGCTTTTCTCCCAAGCGATGTATTTTTGCCAAAGTTCGACCTAAAATTACCTTTATTTTTACCTTTCTCTTCAATTTGGAAATAAAAATTGTTAAACAAAGTAGTCATAAAACAACTACAAATTGTACTAATTTATTGCTCAGCTCTCGAGAAAGAATTGGAGATGGAATGTTAAAGTATAAGTAAATTTAGTAAAAAAATAAATAGAACAACCACAACAAATATCTTAAAATGAAAATTTGTAACATGAATCTGACAGAATAAAAAAGAACAGGAAAAGATGGGAGAACGGTGAGAAAACCAGTACATACTACTCCTACATTAAAAATAAATAAATGCAAATAATCAATACATTAAGAAAAAATGCTGAAATGGCAATAATAAGAACAACATGTATACGAAAAAAAAAAGAGTTTCAAATAGTATGCATAATTACAAACCGTGCTTAATAGATCTGTTGAGTATTACACTGTGGTATAACTGACAATTTTAACGTTTAACACTAAGCAGGTAACTATTAAAAAGTTTAATAAATATAATAACAAAACGTATAAAAATACTTCAAAGTATTTTATTACCGGCAACATGACGTTGTTTAATACCAGACCTGTGCTTCAGTATTTATAGTGGTGTACAGCTGAACATTTGTTGTAACTGAAGTAACAAAAGTACTTAGGTATCAAAATCTGTTACGACTATATTTAGTTCTTACTCTTTTAATAGTGCTAAAATAGAATTACCGTTCAAAAAAGTTAATTAAACATTTTTGTAGTTACATAAAATGCAAAAATTGTTGATCTGATTGGCAAACGGCATTTCTGAACGATTTTATTAAATGTTTTCTATATTTTCCAGAATACAATGTACAGAATTCTTGGTAAGTTAACTGTACATTATTGAATAAGTTTTATAGTACTTACCAACAGTAGAAAAAAAAAAAAAAAAACACAAACATGGTCGATACGATAATTAGATAATTAGGTAGGGTTGTATCTATGACATCATAAATTTTTCCAGCGTGCCTGTAATATGTTTAAAAAACTCGAAAACCAACATTATTTTTTGCAATTTTCGGCTTTTGTTGTCATAGTTATGACGTTAATAGTTTTTAAAAGCAAAAACAAGCTACAAAGTATCCCATACGCCGCCCCGATACGATGCGTATGGGTCAGGTCAGGTCAGGTCAGGTCAGGTTGATCTTGTTGATCTGATTGGCAAACGGCATTTCTGAACGATTTTATTAAATGTTTTCTATATTTTCCAGAATACAATGTACAGAATTCTTGGTAAGTTAACTGTACATGATTGAATAAGTTTTATAGTACTTACCAACAGTAGAAAAAAAAAAAACACAAACATGGTCGATAGGATAATTAGATAATTAGGTAGGGTTGTATCTATGACATCATACATTTTTCCAGCGTGCCTGTAATATGTTTAAAAAACTCGAAAACCAACATTATTTTTTGCAATTTTCGGCTTTTGTTGTCATAGTTATGACGTTAATAGTTTTTAAAAGCAAAAACAAGCTATAAAGTATCCCATACGCCGCCCCGATACGATGCCTATAAAGAAAAGCCTGCAAGCGGTCCACCAAAAGTCGCGGAAAGTCTCAACGGTGGAGCCCAGAACAATCTCCAAAGCGACGTTCGCGATCTTTCCAAAAGAAGCATACGGTTGTTTAAATAGGAACCACCGTCGAGTGCAAGCTAGTCTAGTAAAATCCAGTGAGAATTATTCGCTGTTATATTTTCGCTATGTATAGGTCGTATAAATTGTTATGCCTGTTCAGACGAGGGCTCGAACTGCAATGCTAATGGAGGAACTAATCATGGCTATGCTTGAAAAATGGACGCAAGAGATGAAAGAATGAACAAAGAAATTGAAAAGATTCAAGCCCAGAATAAGGAAAGGATGGAAAAGATGGATACAAAAATGGACGCAGGCAAAAAATTACATAATCACCAGCCTAACCGAAAAATTACAAAAGGAAGCGGAAGCAAAGAATGAAATAGAAAAAATAAAAAAAAATGAAGGACGTAAAAACATCTGGAAAATATGAAAATGAATGTTGGAGGATATATGATCTCAATGGAGCATCAGTTAAAGAGTGAATTAAAAAAATTACTGCAAAACAACATGGAAAATCGAATGAAAACTATAGAAGATATAATGGAGAACAAAATGAAGAAATTTGAAAAGATGCCTTTTGGATTGTATTACGCTGCGGCTACTTTTGACAGACTAATGGGGAAGAAATTTGAGGGGCACTTGACCAATCTAGAAGAAATATTTAGCCGAATAGAGGAGGCAAATTTGAAGTTGAATTCAAACTGCAGAAGATTTGTCAACGGTTTCGCTGATATTGCTGTTCCTCTGCACAGGCTTGATTTGAAATCACAGTTTAATTGGACTGCTGAATGTGTGCCAGCCTTCAAAAGACTGAAGAATGTACTATACTCTAGCCCTATTCTGAATAGGGACCATGTTGTCACAGTTGCAGGACAAGGAAGAAAAAGTCATCGAGTACTTCAGCAGCGTATTTTCGAAACCCGACAAGAACTACTGTGCTACGACGAAGGAAATGTTGGGGATTGTCAGGGCTGTTGAACATTTCCATAAATTTCTTTGGACGTGAATTTCTGATTAGAACCGATAACGCAGCCCTCATGTGGCTCCTTCAGATGAAGAGTCCTGAAGAACAAGTGGCTAGATGGCTTGAACGACTCCAACAGTATTATTTTAAGATGCCACACAGGGCTGGAAAGATCCTCAATAATGCGGATTCTTTGTCGAGAAGACCGTGTAAGCACTTCCATGATACAACGAATCAGACACCGGTGTGCACAGTATTCGGAAGAGAACTTCGTTTACTTTGTAACATACTGTTCGTAAAAAATCTTAGACTATAGTAATTTCCTTTGCTGCCTGCAGAAAATGGTTCCATTGTTTCATTAAAAAAAAGAACCACAGGCAATAGAGGGCCTACTCTATGACCAGCTCGCAGTCCAGATTTAACCCCTTTAGATTTTTTTTTGTGGTGACAGATAAACCATTCGACATATTTGTGGTTCTTGCGTGATTTATAAAATTTTAAAAATTGAAATTAGGAATGTATGTGTATCATTAACGCGTGATATTTTTTTAACTGCGATATCTCAAGATATAAAGTCGCGGGGTTTTATCTGGGACACTCGTACATTAGTTGTAACTTGTAGCTAATCTCGTTTGAGAACACTGTTTATTAAAAATTCTTGTGGCACTGCAGTTCCTATTTAAAATTTTCGGCATCTACATTTGAGAAAAAGTAACTCTTAATTTGGCTCTCGATATTTTTTAACAAGTCAGGGACTAGGCACTGCTACATTTTTGAAAATTGGTAAAGTGAACAACGAAAAAAAAAAATCAAATTACTGTATTTTAATGGTCATTAAAAGTTGTAAAATAGATATTTCCACAAAAATATCAACAAAACGATATTAGAAAAAGTAATTGTTATTATTTTAGGGCATATACACAAAATGAAACACTAAACCAAACGAATAATAAAGAAAACACAGCTGGATCACTTCTCATTTATGCAAAAAAAAGCAATCAACATCAAAATGAGAAAAAAAGGTCCAAAGTTATTAACCCGAACTTCCCTCGGCCCTGAAGCACAATCAAATAAGTACAGTTTATGTATTATTTCGTAAAAACGCCCATATATTACAATAAAAAATAGTATAGTGTTTAGTGTTCGGAGATTTTCGGGAAAATTAAGCTATTTTTTTTTATCCGTGGAATTAACTGATTTATTCCTTTTTTTAATTATTATTTATTCTATATAATAAACAACTGTAAAAAATAAGAATGTATTATTAAAGCGCATATATTCTCGAAGTACTTTTTTTAACAAACGCTTAGTTACAACATTTTTGCAGTGGCGCCGCTAACCGTCTACATGGATTTGAAGTGCTGTTTTCTAATCATTAAACTAACGTATCGTGCCAAAATTAAAAAAAAAAGATAAAAGTGGAGGTGATTCAAACAGTGGAAAAATGTATGAATAGCTAGAATATAATGTACATATAACAAAAGAAATATGAATCGTGAGTAACAATATTTTAAAACACTAGAATTTTAGTAATATTACAGGTCACTAAAATAGAAATATGTAATACTAATTACTTACAATACTAAGCATGCACATTAAAAATAATAAACTTCCTAAAAACGGAAATTAAAAGAAAATGGAATCCACGGTCACACTGTTTTTTAATTTTAAGCATATGGAATTACACTTCTCCAAACTTTATTTTTATTACATTTTTTAATATTATACATGATGCAACATTAAAAAAATCTGCTTTATGTATATCAAATATGGCATACAAAGAAATAAAATGATTAAGAACAAAATTAGTAAGAACGAAAAAATGGGAGAAAATTACACGAAAATAACAAATTGAACACAAACATCGCGGTATTTTTAGAATCAAATCGTAAAATTATTGAAATAAATATAAAAAAAATCGTCTATGTTAAAAAATATGTCCAGAGTATTAAAGGGTACGTTTCAAGTGAGTTTTTCCATTACAAAATATTGTGATGCCGTCATCAGCATTTAAAGAAAGACACGTATAACAGTTCGGATAGGTGTAGTGAATCCTAATAGCAAGACTATTGTTTCCCAAAATTTCGGGAAAATAAGGCCAGCCGTTTTTGATTTGAGCATTAAAATAAATTGCCTCATTCATTAATTTTTTTAGACACCAGGTATAAAAAATTCTAAAAAATTGATTTTAAATAGTATTTATTCGGTAAAATTTTGAGATGTCGTCATTAATAACTATTACGCGGGAATAAAAGAATAAATTTTGATTAACGATTTACCTTACAATACTTTTAAAACGTTTGTAAGATGTCAGTCCATTTGGTTTCATAGTTAAATTTTAAAGTGTTATACAATTTTGATTTTTTTCCATAAATCTTGATGTCCAGGGTAAAAAATCAAGACGGATTCATAAACGACAAGTGTAGGAGGGTGTTACAAAATTTAAATAATATTTACTATACACAAGTTTCAAATTACGTTGTTGGTGGGGATAATTAGACATATTTTGTTTAAAGTTTTGCCATCTACACGATATTCTTAAAACACATAATTCAACAACAATCGGTTATGTAGCATCAGAGATTTTTTGTCTAATAAAACTCGACACAGACGACAGACAGACAGACGGACATAGAAGATCCATTGTTTCAGACTTTAGGGGTCATGAAACGTGAAGAAAACATAAAAGTAGTCATTCGCCAGATGGGCCCTATTAAGATACTTTATTAGCTCACGCTCTAGAAGTAAACATACTTTAATTATACCTTTCACAATATACTACTCCCAACAGCCCCTTTATAATATTCCCAGCCAAGTTAAAATTAAGTTATTAATACTGTTTTAGAATTAGATAAGAAAAATCTCTTTTTGAATCATTCTTTATTTTTTCCAACTTTACTAAACTCACTTGTTTGCGCTCTTCTGGGCTTCCATTAGGCGGGACACTGGGCGCATTCCTGTTAATCCCTCTAATTTGAACTTCCAACTCTTTAGCAACCCTTCGAGCATTCATATAATCCCTACTCCTTTCAATACTCATTTTTTCCGCAATAATAGGATTAATAGCCTACAATTAAATAAATACATCTTGATGGAAACTCCTCTGCGCAGTACCTGTTCAAAAGCTATATAATCTTTCCAAAACGTTTCCATTCCAGTCATTGGGTTATTGATACCCCTTTGATAAACTTTCCGAACAGCTGAAATTTTCTGATTTTCCGCATAAGAACCTACAGCTTCAACTCCCTTCAAAAAATTAACATATTCATTCCAAATGGAATATGAATGAATGTCCATGCCAATCTTATCTAAAGCAAAGTCATATGCCTGCGCCATTTTCTCTCTAAAAAAAATTGGAAAAAACAAATTGTGCCAAAATGCATATGAGCCACATACTTATAAGTGGGAAGTGAGGCCTTTGTCTCTTTCACGTATCCCAGATAAAGTTTCCACAATTCTATATTTAAAATCTTCATCAAACACCTTTGAAACAACTATTGAAACAAGTTATTAATTTGCTACTCAATCAACATTGGTTAACGAAAGGAGAATAGCGGCGCACACAAACACTCACTTACTTAAGATAATTTATTTGTTAAGGGGGTGGCTTGGGTGAAAAAAAAGACACTCTACTCCCCAATTCGTTAACAAATGTTTCTCAACTCGGGGGTTCCCAAATATAAACAACTTTAAAGTTGGTACGTTTATTACTCTCTGTTTTACAAAAACTCAAATTAATTCCTACCTTTTCCACCTTCTCAAAATTCCGGTACTTCATCTATAACGAAGAAATGTTTTATCTTTCAAAACAGCCACATGCAGGTCATACCTCGTGTTCAATGTAAATCCGCCAGTAACGAGATGCACTTGGGAAGATATCAATCAGGTGTTCATACAGCGAACGAACTTCTGAAATGTGTTTGTTTTGAGCTTCTCGTAACAAAATTGACCATGATTCTAGGTCGTAGGGATTTTTCTCCACTTGCTTTTGCGTACGATGTAACTTATCGTTACCCCAGTCCTTCAAAAACGTTATTAATGTTTAATTTATGTGTAATTCATACATACTATGTGTAATCTTTCCTCTGTCATTGTGAATATGGGGGGCTATCTTACTGGTTGGAAACTTTGCCTAAAATGTGACGAGTTAAATGAGACCAACGATTAGTAAAATGTACCTTTGTTTTTATCCATATAATCAAACTGAATATAAAAAATAATAAGATACTTCTTTTGCAGATTGTCACACCGCCACAAACAACAATCGATTAGATTTGGTTCGCGTGGTGGTTATAGGGGGCGCTGCTAGATAATAAATGGTAAAGTCCCTAAAGTACTAATCTAGGGACTTTAATAAATGGCAGAGGCGTTCGTATATCTGTAGAAGAGGAATTTTAACAAATTTGCCGTCAGTACTGCTCGAAAATTAATTAAAGTTGTGTTTTCCACAAAATTATCTCAATTTGAAAATTTCGGATTTAATTTAAAATCATACGTTGTTACGAAAAACTAACTCATTCTCGTAAGTATTCTGTACGCCTACGCCCCTGCGAAAGAGATGTAGCTACAGGCACACATGTGACGGCTGTGACTACGGTAGAATCGTGTTTATCATTTAACTTTTTATCATTTATGACCACTTTATCACTAACTTCAAGTTAAAGTGTAAACTTCGTTATGGAGTAGTTTTATATTAAAAAATTAAAATAATCAAGGTAATTACATTCATTTTCCAAAGCACTTTCTTTGATATTGTTACAGGTTAGGATTAATGTTTTTAAATGGATAAAAATACAGTTTTGTGACCTTTAACGCTGAAATATGTCTTTGTCTTACATAACCAAGCAACTTCCGCTTCTTTTAAAAGGCACTGTACCACCAGTTAGTGAGTTTATCCCCAAACACTGCCCAGTTGTACAGAACGATGTTCAATCTCTTCGAGATTTTGTTAAAAATTCTGAAAGGATTTTAGTGGTTACAGGCGCAGGAATATCGACAGAATCGGGTGGGTATGGTGGGTGAAAAGAGTGTGCAACCTGAGTTTTCACGTGTTATTTTGCCGTGTATCAGCACAAGCTTATATTAGTAGTTTTGAATAGGTATATTCACTGTAGTAGCTATCTCAGAAAACTAAAAGCTTGTTTTTCTTGTTTATAATTCTCTAGGGTTGTTAGATTTTTTTTTCTTTCAAAATTTAGTTAATTTTACGAATATAAAAAATGCGTGACTTTTATATGACAATCTGTCATGGAGGTACAGTAACACCACGGAGGGACGGAGCGACAGACCATGTCTCATTGTACCTTGTACCCATAAAATATCCCATGGGAAGGCATTCTATTATGGTTGTACATACCCAAGGTCAGTTAATAGATAAGGTTGCCCCATTGAGATGCCATATTGTCGACGTCATAGGAAGGCCTTCAAATGGCGCGAAAATGATCAGTTTTAAATACTCGACTTAACGCACTGAAAACTAGAGATTAAAAACAGAAACTTTTAATCGCTGGGACCGCTTCTACTTCGCAAATTTCAATATCGTCCAAAGAAAACATTTTTAAATAAAAAAGTCTGTGCCGTTTTTACTTAAGAAAGTTTTCTTTATGGGGTATTGAATTATTTTTTTTTTAGTTTATTAGTTTCCTTTATAAACTACAAAAAAATCTTGTTTTGCCACTAGCACTCGAAAAAAACAAATACGACACTATTACTAATCGTTTACCAAGGATTGCAACAGACCTTTTATTTTAGATTCTAAACACAATTCTGCGAAAATCAAGGAGTTGACACGATGACAGGCACAGATCAACAGTCAGGAAAATATAAACATTTTATTTTAATTGAAACACAAATACATTTAAATTTTAAGTTTTTTTTTTGTCAGACGTGCACTTTTACAAGGGTAAACCGCTTTAGTTGTTTCTTATAACTTCGTTTGGTTTCAGATTTATAGTTTAAATATTTTATTCTACTTAATGTTTGTTGTTTTAAAAAACGCAACACGACTCACATCAAGCACGTCATAATTAGAGGCCCCAGTAAAACTTCATTTTGTCGTCACATGGGGCTAGCACCTCTTCTCGCCCGTAAGCGATTTTATCCACACGCTGGTTTATATGGTAACCTGTTCTCTACTTGGTATATACCTGTTTTAAATATTTGCCACCCAAAGGAGCTCCACAGAAGAGCCATTTATGACCTTTTCCGTACTATATTGGGAGCGTTTGGTTTAAAATGTCTGTTCGTCCGCCGTTCGTGTCTATTTTTGTTAGACAGATAATCTCCGAAACTACCGGACTGATTTTTGTCAGACTTTATATTACAACTATAATGTAGACGATAAAACTCTAATAAAACTTTGTCTAATCATCCGCACTAACAATATGATGTATAAAATTATACATAGTAAATAGGTTTTAAATTTTATGAAATAACATGGTCCAACACGTGTAGTTTATAAATCCGTGTTGAGTTTTTATCCGAGACGTCCAGATTTTTGAAAAAAAAAAGTCAAAATTATATAATATTTTGCAATTTAATTTCATCGTGTTCGAGACATTTGTCATTTTGATGTCAAGCGCAGTTTAAAGGTTATTAGTTCACAACAGTCGCTGTGACAAGCGGGCAACAGCTTTTAAAATTCATTTCGGAAACGACATACGAAAAAAACACTCTTGACCAGGTTTTTATAGTTTGGCTGCTAATGTTTGACTTCACTACGGGTAATGCGCTTAGGAGGAGTTATTCTTTAGCCCCGCTGTAAATGTGTCCATCAAGACTGTGTTTAAAGAAGTGTAGGCAAGCGAGGAAAAATGTTGCTGCCCCGGTGGGAACAGAACCCAACGTCTCCCGCTTGCCGGGCGGGTGCCCTGACCACTAGACTACAGAGCGGCTTATCTTTCTTCGCTTACCAACTTATTATTGTGCCGCCACAGAAGTTTACAAATTTTTCTAGTACGACACCGATTCCCTCGCGGATAAAGAGACGAGATTAGTGAAGTCAGCTCCAAACATCGGTAGCCAAACTTTATTTAGACACCAGATACCTACTTCGTCATGTTGATTCTGAAAATATATATTTTCACTTTTTCACGTACATTCATATTTTCTGTTTTATCACATTGACATTAAATATTGAAAGAATTTGTAGGTATATCTCCTGACTTGTGTAGGAAGTTTGAATAAGTTTGGGCATGTTTCCTGCGCCACAAGCCTCTCTTTGTTTTTGAGTCCATCATCTACGAAGTATAAGAAGTGAATTGTAACACAACATTAAAATATACAACTTCTTAAATCTCACTTGGACTTGGAGAACGGTTTCACTGCTATAACTTGGCCAGTGTCTAAAGCGTGTTCATGTCTGTACTGTTAACTAGTATAAGATGCCTCTTGATCTTTTTTTGATTGCCCATTTCTGTGAATCCTTTGACTGGCCGTTCATGCAGACATTTTTTTTATACAGATCAAAAAACGTAAAAATTTAGCCACTTTTGCCAGATTCATCCTAAACAATTTTAGAGTTTTTTGTAATGTTGTGAAATGAAATCTATGGAGAAAGACAAGATGCCTCAAAAAATTAATTTAGTAATGAAAGTCCAGTCGATTGCAGATACCCAGCACAAAGTGGTGAATTAAAATATGGTGAAATTTAAAAAAAAAGTAAACTTCGAAGGATTGTATCTTCTACATTTCCACAAAAGGAAATTTTAAATTATTTTTTCTCTGCTCTATAAATCGTCCTCAACGTGTCATAAAGTTAATGGGCCTTTTTTTGAACACTCTGTATTTTTGTTTTTTTTTGCAGTGTTTAATAAAAACCAAGGTTTTGCCTACCGGGATATTATTTTCCTTTACACTCACAGTTATACTGTATTATTCTAGTTGGTGATAGGTTAATTAATTAATTATTGTGAAGAACTATAATAAAAAAAAGGCGTCAAAATCGAAGTTCCTGAAGTTTGAATTGTTGCTAGAGATCGTGAAAAGCCAAAAAATGACAGATCCATGTTGTATTCTAAAAACAATAAGCATGACGGAATAGTTTCTCAGATAAAAACAGGAAACATTGGTGGGAAAGGCCGCATTCAAAGAAATTAAATTGCTTGAATTGTTATAGTTGTCAAAAAATGTAATTCCATATTTTAGTGTTACTTATATGAAATATTGTGAAGAATCATTTAATATCTGATTTGCCTACGTTGTTATTCGGCGGAAAAACTGAGAATGTAATTTTAGAGGAACACAACACTGAGAAACATCGAAGTATAGTTAGTTGCTTAGCTACAAAATCATTTTACTCCACGAGCGTAAGCTAAGAAAATATTGTAATAGGATCCCTCTGACGAACAGCTACTTTAATGTTTTATCGACGTTTGATGACCCATAGAGTATGAAAAAACTTATTTTCGTTTGTCTGTCTGCCGGCTGTCTTGAATTTTATTAGGCAGGTAATCTCCGAAATTATTGGACCCATTGTCCTCAAATTTTATATGTACCTGTTTTATCAGTGTTGTGCAGATAGTAAAACGCTAACCAAAATTTGTCGTATTATCTCCGCCACCAATCGGATGACGTCATCTCCAGAATTTACAATAATAAATGTTATTTTATATAATAACGTACTCCTGCACTTGTGGTTTATGAATCCGTGTTGAATTTTCAATCTAGACTTCCAGGTATTATTGTAAATTTTGAAGATGACGTCATGGCATTGTTGGTGGGAATGATTAGACAATTTTTGACTAGCGTTTCATACGGTACCTACTCCTAACATATATAAAAAATTTGACAACAATTGTTGTAGCCATTTCGGAGATTATCTGTCAATTAAAATTTCACACAGATGACAAATAGACAGCTTGGTGGAAATGGGAAACCGACTTTTTCGTACTCAAGTGTCAAAAAACGCCAAGAAAAACTTAAAGCAGCGATTCGTTGAATGAATTCTATTACAATACTTAGCTTACGCTCAGGACTTAAAAAATAGAAATATTATATTATCAGGTATTCCTGACTACCGCTCAGAAGCTGTAGGCCTGTACGCTCGAAGTAACCACAAACCTGTCCAGTATTCCGATTTTCTGAAATCTGCAACAGTACGTCAGAGATACTGGGCACGAAACTATATTGGATGGCCAAAATTTTCCCAAACCCAACCCAACATCACACATTATATTCTTCACTTACTGGAGGAAATAGGAAAAGTTTTGTGTGTAGTCACCCAAAATGTAGATCGCCTGCATACAAAAGCAAGATCTCAGAACGTCGTAGAATTACATGGAGCTGCATTTAGAGTGATTTGTTTGAATTGTGGAGAATTTTATAACAGACACTACATTCAAGAAAAACTAAAACGTCTGAATCCGAAGCTAGAAGTGACGAGTGATATGGTTAGACCAGACGGAGATGTAGAGATTTTGCAAGTAATTATTAAAACATATTTTTTGAGTTAAAAAACAATGTAATCATGTTTTAGGATAAAATTAAATATTTCAAACCTCCATTCTGTGATTCTTGTGATGGAGTCCTCAAACCGGACATCACGTTCTTTGGTGACAATATACCAAGAACAAGGGTTGATTCTGTTAGAACGCAAGTCAGTGCAAGCGACGCTTTACTAGTCCTAGGATCAAGTTTAAGTGTATTTTCTGGTTATAGAATACTTCTACAAGCCCATGAAGAACGAAAAAATATAGCGATTGTAAACATCGGCCCAACTAGAGCCGACAAACTAGCTAATTTGAAAATATCTGCGAGATGTGGCGACATCTTATCTGAAATTTTTAAAATTACGTAAAAATATACTTATTTTCACTCAAAACTTTTTGTTTATTTTTTGAGGATATTGCTATCACGGCGGTGTACTAATAAATAACGGTTCGTTTATTAGGGGATTGGGTAGTGGAAAGCAGAAAAGAATGCAAAAGAAACATGTACGTTTTCGTGTTTCATTTTTCTGAATAAGTTTTGGACTTTTGACAGTAAGTGTTTTGTGTCGTTATGATGGCACTTCGACCTGTTTTGCAGTACTCGTCATTAGCACTATACTAATTAGCAGAGTTAGTCAAAGCTGAAGTGATGGGGAATCAATCAGACAAATATTAAATACGACGCCGCGACGTTAGGCAATAAATTTGGCTGGCCGACTGTGCAATCTCAAACTCACTGGCGTTGTGTTCAGTTCAGGATTTATTTGATCAAGATCGTCACGAAAATTATGATGTTGTACAATCATTTTAATTTTTAAAGCAATTTTAACATCTAAGAGAACTCGTTTAACTGTGGAATACGTAGAAAAAGTAGTAATTGTTATTAGGAATTCCCGACGTTGTAGCAGAAAACGTGCCCACTCCTGCAACAGCGCTAGCAATGAGCATCGCTTCCGTGATGCCGAAGTCTACCCTGACCTGACCTGACCTGATCTGACTCGGCAGAGGTGGTACTTTGGGGGCTAGATATCAGATAACAATAATTAGGACATAACAATACAGCAACAGTGGATGCAAGTGTCTCCTTTAAAGCGCTGATTGACTTCTTGATGCTATAACGCAATTTACATAACTAAATTTAAGGAAAAAAGTCGGCCCAAGAGACTGATGATTCTAGAAATATACATTTTTTAACGGTTGGAACGTTTGCTTACCTCGGTTGCCTCGGAAGCCTGAATTAGGTTCAGCAATTGTTCCATTAAATCAATGGATGGAAATCTTAATCTGTAATATTCAGGTAATGGAATTATTCTTCTCCTCGCGTGAGGCAATTTCATCTGGCTCTAAAGTCTGGGGTCAGAAGTGAAGTTAGCCCTCAATTATCCTATGAGGGCGAGGTCTTATCCTTATGTAATTTTTGTTAACTTCAATTGACAACAAAATTCGTAACTGCACCACTAATGCTGTTATTAAAATTAGCCATTTTTTTCAATTGTCATGCTACGCCGAGACGCTTCCAATTCGTGAAACTCTTCGAAGATTTTTTACTTTCCGAGGGTAAGCTAAGGAAGTACTATAGTAATCGAGTCCATCGGACGATTGGCTACTTTTATGTTTTCTCCACGTTTCATGACCCCTACAGTAATAAAAAAGTAATCTCCCGTTTCCATCTATCTGTCTGCCTGTCTGGTGTCTATCCATTTTTTTTAGATACGAAATCTTTGAAACTGCTGGATCGATTATTGTCAAATTTTGTATTGTAACGGGCCGTCACACGAGAAAATCGCAACAAAAAGACGAAAAACAAATCCCCTAAACAAAAACAAAATTCCCAAATTTGCAAATCTTCATTACTTAACACGCATGTCCAAATCTGCATATAGGTAGAACCATTCAAAGAGATAATCAGAATCAACCATCAATCCTCAAACGTAAGAACAAAATTCTTATATTCGCAAATATCAAATATCATTGCGCTTGTCAGACATTGCGAACAATATGTGCGGAACTGAACACCCATAAAAACCGCCTATCGCAATTACTTTCATTAGAATTCGTACCCAAACTAAAACAGCAGCAGGCAAATCCCAAACGCATAAAAAAAAAACAGATCAAAGAACGCCTAATTTGGACCCAAGTCATTTTAGCTAATTGGGTCGGTACGGAACGAAAGCTTTAGTTCTAAGTCAACTACTGAGTTACTAAAATTGAAGAATACTGTCTTCATTACAGAAAAAAACGTAAACATTTCTCCACTTCATGATGTTATAATTATAGTTTGTTTGTAAAGTGATAACTTGTTGTGTTTCTAAGGTAAGTACTTTTGAATTTTTCTACATAATGTTTAGAGTATTCGTAGTAGTCGAAATTCGGGCAAATTTAAATGAATATGCAGCTTCTAATGAAACATCGGGGTCCAATCAAAGTAACGATAATTCTATAGTATTGCTTAAACTTCCTACTTTAATTTTTCAAGATTTTCGGGTTCATTCTTGAAATGGCTGTTATTTAACAACACATTTTCCTCATTAACTGATCAAATTACTAATTTAAATAAATTTAAAATTCTCACTTAAAGGAGAAGCTTTAGCGACAACTTACTATTTCCGTAGACAATTATAATTCGGCATATGACTTAGTCGTAGTAAAGAAAAGATATAACAGCATAAGACTAATTACGCAGGAATATTTTTTGGCTATTATTAATGGTCCTATTATTCTTAAAACAAATTCTGCAGGTATCAGAAAATTGTGTCAACGTTACAACTATTGAAGCGCTTCGTACTCAGAAATTACCGGTCGAAAGTTAGGATAATCGTTCCACTGATAGTAGAAAAATTAGATTATACAAGTCGTAAAGAATGGCAAGCAACATTGAACAGCGAAATACCAAAATTAACCGATTTGAATTCATTTTTAGAAAAACGTTGCAAGCTTTTGGAATCCAGGCAACAAATATCTTTAAATGCATCACATAGCACAGATATCGATAAACATAGTAATAACTTTAATAAAAACTTTGATCAGGGGTCTACAGCAAAACAACGCTGGTATGTACAAGCAGTAGCCAAAGATGTAGTTACTGCAAGCGGAATTACATATAATACATTGCCAAACAAAAAATTCGAACACTTGAACAGTTGCGACTTTACGCTTATGTTTAGTGTTATAACGTTTTTTAATTTTTTTCTGTTTTCACATATTTTAGAATTAAGCTATGTTTTTTTTTAATATTTTTTACAAAAGCTCGACCAATCGCAGGTAATCACAATAAATTCAAGTGTCCGGGTTTTTTGGCAGTGTACTTCGTTGTCCAGAATTTTCAAATCTTTCAGTTGAAGAACGTACATAGGTATATCTCATGTTAATAAGGCCAAAATATGTACAAATTGTTTAAAACGCTAATCACATTGTTGTAAATTGTAAACCCACTAGAACTTGCCAAAAATGTCACCTACGTCATCATTAGAGAGCGGATTTATAAGCACAAAAAAATTAAGAATAAGCGCCTAAATAAGCACAACATTTTCAATAAAAAAGTTTTATTTTCAAACGTCATATAAGTGACACTTATACGATGTTCTTGCCGGGGTTTAAGTGTCCTTTCTATGACACCGTGTTTGAGTGGCGCATAAGTACTACTTATACTCCGCCGGCGTATAAATATAGTATATTATTATACTAGTTTAATAAGACGTCTTATTGTGGCACGCATGGGTTTGGGGCACGACGAGCGCAGCGAGGAGTGCTCCAAAGGAGTAAGTGCCACAATGCGTCTTATTAAACGAGTATAATATACTATTTTTTCTACTTTGCATCTGATCGGAAACAAAAAATTAATAAAAATTCAAGGTTATAATTTAGGGCCTTTTAATTCGAAAGGTTAGTTGTAGCGTTGTGGCTAAATTCACAATGTCAAAGTTTGACATCTAACCACCGAACACTAACAATCTAACCTAAGTTTGCCTCAAAAAATGGAAGAAGGGGGGCCCACTTCTTGCACGCCACCTGAAATACAGTTTAACAACTGATCCCATTATTAAACTGTTTTCGGTTTAATAATGAGGCCATTGTTAACGCAAAGTAGAAAAAAGCATTTATACTCCGCCGGAGTATAAATATGTGAAAATCATGGTGGTTGTCAACCATAGTAACCATGGTAGCGAAATCAAAGCATTTCCTTAATGAAGCAAGAAGATAGGAAATAATCATTTCAAAAGAAGATTAATCGTTTGAAAATAAAATATTGTATTTCATTCGGAGTTTAAGTGACTTCATGTGACTCCTATGGACTTAATTCGCCTCGCTATCGCTCGGCGTTTAATCGTCCATACTCGACACATAAAGTATCACTTAAACTCCTAATAAAATAAATATCTATTATTTTAAGCAAAAAAATATTAAAAACATAATCATATTACAAATCAAAGAACACTTCTTAGAACTTTGGATAAAATATTATTACAATAATCCTAGACTTTATATTTTACACACGTATTTCAGTTTTCTTTAAAACAATTTATGATTGTAATATATTCCAAGTTGTCCACTGTAAAATTTTTTCGCCGATCATTTAAAATGTGTTTAAAATTGGAGAATGTGCGTTCAACATCCACACTCGTTGTTGGCGCAAATTTGAATTTTGCAACTAATGTTGAATCTAACTCCAAATTTTCCACCTTCTGGCCTTGTAAAACACGAGCAACGTCGGAAAGAACACCGAAACCTGCATTTTTATTTAACACTTCGTCAAGTTTTTGAGATACTCTAGTACCAATATCACCCCTTACTGCGTTTGCTTGTTTAAATTCTTTCACTAAGTTTATGGCATCTACCAACAACATGTTGGGTTTTTCTAACTTTTCTACTACCTCACATAGGTACGAATTGTTAATTGCTTCTTAGAAAAGCTAGATTTTGTCGCAAATCTTTGTTTTCCAAAATATTTATGCAATCTTTAATCGATTGAGAAGAATCTTCGCTAAACTCCGTAACTACTTCCTCAAATTCTTTGATATATTTGTCATAATAAAATGTGGCCTGTACCCATGTTCCCCACTTCGTTATAATCGACTCTGGGGGCAATGGTATGTTTGGAAATTTTTCCTTAAAATGTTGCACTCTTAGTGGGGCTTTAACAAAAATCTTTTTACCATTTGCCACTAATTTATTAACAGTAGGAAACTGCAAACGTATTCCTTCAGCCACTCTGTTTAAACCATAGAAATAATATTATACCCTCCTTTATTAGATCAATGGTTTAAACCGTCGGCAATGCAAGTAGAGTGAATTAAATTGGGGTACAATATTTTTAGATTTTCCCTGCTTTCAACATATAACGAGCTGCATCCGAGATCGTCAATAAAATTTTATTCGCCGGTACGGCATTTGGCAAAAATAGTGACGTAAGATTGTCATTTACAAATCTGGTAATCGTATTGCCATTTGTTTTATCTAACATTTTCAAACTTACTACATATCCTCGACTAGGGAAATTTTCATTTAAGATTCCAACAATTAAACTTGCCACGTATCTTCCACAACTATCGGTTGTTTCATCGACAGCGAACCATAAATAATTATCTCCAATGTGATGTTTAATTTTGTTGTAAACTTGCTGAAACACTGGGCCTACATAATTTTTTCGGAGAGTACTTTCAACCGGAATATGTCGATTGCAGTGTTTTTCAAGGAATTCTTGAAGAGGGCCTTTCTCCAATCTTTTTAAAGGTATATTGGACTGGATCATCATTTTACATCAATCGAAATTAAACTGAAACTGCTCATCTTTTGTGGAAGTAGATGCAACAGATTCATGTATGGTCTGCTGTTTAATTTTAGAAACTTCAAACATTTTCTTCCTTTCTACATGAAGAGTCGTTCTGACATGTTGCGTCACGTTATATTTTTTATCACTTTGAATCTAAAACAACGTACATACATATACAGGATTAACAAAGGAAAATAGATAAAAAAAAAATTAGTGGGCTTACGGTTTTCACACAAGCTCTGCAGAATATTTTGTTGTTTTCTAATTTTAATTCTGGAAAATCCCTTATCCACTCATCCGGCGTCGATTTTACTTTCGGCATTCTTTTAAAATATTAGTAATATTACCAAAAAGAACTCAACATGTAACAAGGGAGAACCACGTATAACACTGTACTACAACAGATGCGATAGACTGATCGTTGTGAAATAAACGGTTCATTTACTTAAAAATTTCCATTAGAAAAATTTAATAATCCTTTTTTCTAGAAAATCTTCAACGGTCTTGCCGCAAAATGCCGACAAAGAACATCTGGTTAAAAGCTTTAACTCATTATCAACGGAAGTAAGGATTTAAAGTCATAAAATCTATGGAGTATTTTTCCAATCCTATAATAAAATTTTATTACCCAAACGACCGGAACCTATTCACAGAAAGGGTCTTGAGTAAGTGTACTTCAATGGTCAAGTCCAGGTAAAATGCATACGATACGATACGATACGGCTAACTAACAAGTATTTGTCATCCTGACAAGGGTGGCATTTGAACAAAATATGCATTAAAACTCATATTCGTCGAAGAAAGCATTAAATAAGCATATAAGTTTTAATATGCATAAAATTGAAAAAAAAGCAAATAAGCATAAAAAAATGTGTCAAATGACTCCAAATTGTATCATAGTTACAGATATAAAAAAGTTTTTCACAAAAAGCATTAAACCTAGAAATCCACTCTCTAGTCATCATACTTTAATTCGTGTACCTCAACAATCGACAAGCAATTTGTCATTATCAGTTTTACATATGATATAAGTATGACCAACACTACTATGCTCCTTGCAACAGCAGTTGCTAAAATGGGGGAGTTCGAATAGCACACATGACCCGAAAAATATAGAAGTTGCGCTCTTTTACCGTTCGGGAAATGGTCCAAATTGCCCTCACTACTCTCCATTGGAAAATCCAGTGCTGTATCATTATCGGGTATTTCAATTATGTAGACACAAATGAATATAGAAATGAATTTCAATAATAAATTGACGAATGGTTAGTTTTATTGAGGTGCCATTCTTATAGCAATATTACTCTATAGCCTTCTTCGAGGTTCTAATAACTTTTAGAAAATTACATCGATTCCAATGGACTGTTTCCTGCACCACTGCGAAAAAATTCGAGGAACAACAACAAACGTTCCCGAATCGTTTTCCGCGAAATTCAATGGCTCATTTAGTTCTTGTTAAGCTAACGCTTTTACCTTTTGCGAAGTATTAAAGGAACTGCAAGAGGAGGTTTTTATTTTGTTTCGCAGGGTCTCCTTGGGATTTACGCCCCCACGGCGTAGGGGCTGCGGGGGTGTAGAACTTATGTTTCAGGCGCGAGGAAAGTTTTGTCGAAATAAATTTTGACCAATTTTTTATTAAAGTGAGAGTAAAGATACATAGGAACTTCATATTTTCAGAATTAATAAAATAATGAAATGTCAACATACTTATTCCCAAAATATAAATCATCGTTCCACTATTTATTAATGTGTAAATTTGTTTAAAAAATTTCTTGGTAACAAGAGAAGATAAAATCCAATAGAAGAACATCAGTTAATTGAATGATAGAATAAAAATATTTGCTTCATTTGTGAGTCTTTTAGGTGCATGTGTGGAATTATAGGTATAATACAGTACACTTTAAATTTATATTTACTTAAAACCACTGGATAAATATTGACATCAAATATAATTTGTTTAGTTACGAGCAAATAATACATGATGCTATATTTGTCAATGCAAGCGATAACCCATTGCAGATATTTTTTTAAAATGAATCATCATTTCATTTTAGATATAAATAAAATCCCTCCGAGAATTCCTCCTTCATTCATAATACAGCCTGCCAGGGTGTGCAGACCTTACAACGGTAAGAAACATTTTGTAATAACGAGTACTTAGCTATAATTTTTTTAATTTAACTCTTTAGTTTTTTGTTATACAAAACCATGCATGTCATCGGAAAAGTTGTCAAAGCAGGTGCCACCGCAGTGGCAGTAGTAGCAGCTGAAAAAGCAGCAGAAACAGGAACAAAGAAATTAATTACCACAGAAACGTATCTCCGTATTGTTAACAATTCAAATAGCAACATAATTTCTACTCAAGTCACCGAAACTGACTCTTTTGACTGGTCTGGCTCAGGTCCTGCTGGTAATTTTCAGGCGAGAAAAATCCCCATTGGCGATTATTGGGAGGAAAGAGAAGATATTAATTTTTTTGCTTCGAATTGTCCATTTACGATGTTGTTGAGATTTGCTGACGGTAGTAAAGAGAAATTCAGAATTAACCAAAAGTTTTCTGTTGGGAAAGCGAGTGCTGGGTTTAGCCATCGTGAGGGAAAAAGAAAGATTAGCTACGCAAGAAAGGAAGGAAATAAACTTGTTATTACCATAAAATGATTTTAATTAAATTGCGTATTTTTGACGATTCTGTATGCTAAACAAGAAACATAATAAATTACTTTTTTTTTTAATTTCACCTAGTACATTTTATTTTTACCAATTATATATAAATACATATACAATATGTTGTTCTTAAAAAAAATAATCCAGGGCAACAGTTTCACTGAGAATGACTGGAAATTGTCATTAGTAACAAATTTAGCGGACGGATATGGAAAGGTTTTGTTATGCTCATTTTGATTAATAAAATGTTCAACTCAGACATAATCACCTCAATAATTATGATGCTATCTACATTCTGTAACCATCTCTTTATTGAACAGACCAGTAATGTTTTGGATCTCTGCGGGAACTTTTGGCGGTTCGGTTGAATTCATTTTTTATGAAAATGGTGAGGATTCAACAAAATTGTACGGTTTAACTAGGTAAATTAGAAATTAAAAAAATATATTTGAGTACAAAAACGGCAACGCCTACAAAAAATTATTAATAATTTTAAAACAAAGGTGAAAGAGTTGCACAAAAAATTCTTCTGTTGAATCAAAAAAAACTTAATTTTGTCAATTCTGAAAAAAAAACTGAGTTTATTATAATGCGGGCTATTCACGAAAATTTCACGACGCAGTCAGAAATATATATATATATATACTTATACAATTATTTCAAAACCATTATTGATATTTCACACGATTAAAAAAAAAAAAAGTAAAACATAGTTATCGGTTTTGTGTAACAACACTAATGTGCCATTGCCATTTCTATTGAAACACCATCTATTGGATTTTGCTTAAAATTTAGCAATTGGTAACAGTTTTCGATTGATTGAGAACGGTTTTTAGTTGCCAAATTTACGATCAACAAGTGGCGTTTCAATAGAAATGGCAAAGCCAGGTGACATAGTTTCAGATACTGTCACTGAGATTTTGTCAAAATTGATGTAGTGTTTGAACGACGAAAAGATTAATGTGATTTTGATACATGATTCAGGGTTTTGTAGCGAGCATTATCCGCACGGGAGATTTTCTGACGATGAGCTCTTGTTTTGAATGTGCTTGCTTTTAATTTTAACCCAGTCACTGATGTTTTCTTAATTTTTTTCGGAGTCAACCTAGTGGTAATTATGTAGCTTATCTTTCCTTGGCTTCTCATCATTCATAAAATATAGATTAGTTGTTCTGGCGTGTTTTTCATATATGTACGCTAGTAATAACAAGATAGTAAAGTGCTAATAAAAATTGTTGATTTACGTCTTCTTAAAATTGATGGCATTATATCTCAGTTTTGTTAAGTAAATCAAACTTGAAGTGCGAATGTTGGTATTTGTGACTTAATAATCCCATCTTTACACATCGAACTTATCATAAAAATGTAAAGTTGGTGCAAACAAACTTTAAACACGATTAAACATTTAGTTTTTAACGGAAAAATTTGTCTTGATATGCAACATTGCAGTTGCTCCATTAATCAGCTTTTATTTTTTAAATGTGTTGATACAGGATGTTACACCTTTTTTATAGTAATAATGTTATTAAACTAAGTATAACATTTTATGTTTACCGATGACGTAAATCTAAAAAGGTGAACAGCCACTTATTGTGAAATTTGCTAGGTCAAAAATTAAGAAATGCGATATTTTATAACTAGGGCCAGGCGATTGAAATTTAAATGCTCCGTATTGCCTCCCACTATGGCCGACCAGTGGCTTGTAGCCGATGTTACGTATTGCGAAGAAAATTATGAGAAAACTAAAATTGGTCTTCAGCATCAGAAGCACCAGTCCGCATTGTGAACGCTCATGAAGCTATGCCGAGTTTCAAGGAAATTGATGATTTTTTGATCTATAATATTTATTAATATACGGAATACGGTATTGCTTAATTATTGTGGTATTATTCGGATGATTATTTCTAATTTGGCGAACCAATTCTTCAGGCATTATATTTATAAATTCTGGGGCCATATTATGGGTATACAGGACACGCCATGCACACGTCTCTTTACCTCTTCCTCTTATTCCTGCCACCGAGCTCACACGGGCGCCGGTGGGGCATTGGTTCTTAAACAAGTTGAGGGCGGCTTGATGGTTACCCTCCAGCTCGATACTATTGCCCATATCGATTAGGCAATTTACGTGAACTACTATAGCTAGAAGTGCTAGAATAATTCAGCTAAAATTTAGTTGTGTTGGTTTCTATGCTCTTACGATTTGACATTTTCTAAGGTCCTAGTCTAACGCAGTGGAATGGTCTAACGTATGTAATTCGCTGGTAAACCACAGGAATAGAGGCAGAGGGAAACACAAATTGTGAGTATTGTGACCGTCGAATTTTTAATCAACTTCAAAGAAGGAGGTTATCCACTTCGACCCAAATGTATTTAATATTATTAATATGTTAGTCTCCTAAGGCTTCATAACAAAATTAAAAAAAAATGTATGTAGGTATGTTTGTCCACGTATTTCTCAGAAACTACTAATCAGATTACAATGATTCTAATTTTATTGACTTAAGTAGATTTCAAATTATTGAATAGTCAAAATTTTTTCAACATCGCTTTTGTAGTTTAAAAGATAAGATGTGAAGCCGGTTTAATTTTTATTAAATTACTATTAACTTGTATGTTTTTTTATGACTAAATACTAAATTCAAAGTTAAACATTTACAATAATAGTTATATTATACAAGTGACAAAAATAAGCCAGTATAGTGCGAGTGTTATACTGACTCACAAGTATAATATTAAATTTTCTCTTATACCTGCTCATATTCTTTAATTTTCTTCATAAAATGTAAATATATTCAGATTCAAAATATGTAGTTGGCGGCAGTTACTGTGACAGCACTGTAAATAAACAATTGTGGAATTAAAAAAAACTGTCATCAAGTTTTATCAAAGAAAAAATAATGGAAATTCCGGAAGAAATCCGTAAAAAGGCATTAAGTTTGGTGCAGAATTTGCTTCCTGATATTTCCAAAGAGCTATACCATCGTGAAACTGTTTAAGCAATGGATGAGGGACGGTCCACAGACGTTTGTGAGGAAGTGTTATTGGCGTATTTTGCAGACCAGGTTAAGATTTTTAATTTTCCTTTGTACTTTTGTTAATAGTAAAATTGTTCTGACAGGCGGAAAGATGCAACTCATCTACCCTATGGTCCCAATATTCTAGGTTGAAAGGAAGCTTGAAAGCTTATGATAATGTAAACAAAAGCAGTTATTGGCGTTCTTAAAAAAGAAGCATGTTGGTTATGCAGCCAAGAAGTCAAAAGTGCTTAGGAGAGAGGAAATGTTGAAATTTTTTAAAGAAGCTCCTGACGAAAAATTTCTCATGATGAAGGTACATACAGGCTTTTATGTTTTAAAACTTGGAATACTAATTGATTTAATGTAGGTTGTTGTTGCATTTGGTGTGGCGGGAGCCTGCAGGAGTGAGGAGATGCACAAATTGCAGATAACGAATATACAAGAAGAAGGAAATGTCCTAGTTGTTACACTTCCTCATACGAAACCTCACCAGAAGCGTGTATTTACGGTTTTGTCCGAAGGCTGTGTAAATGGTGTAGAGTTATATAGAAAATATGCGGCTCTCCGACCATCGAAAGTCACATATTCTATGTATTTTTAGGAATTTGAAATGGAAAATGTACAGTACAGCGAGTTTCTATCGCATTCCTAGAGTGATTGCCGAATACCTGAAACTCGAAAACCCCGAACAATACACAGTTCATTCTCTAAGACGTTCTTCAACAACTATTTTTTCGGAGCAGGGAGTTGACATGACTACGCTTAAAAGGTTTGGTGAATGGTCCTCTGATAAAGTTGCAACAAGCTACGTGGAAGATTCTTTAGTGCATAAGATAAAAATTGCCCGAAAAATACTAACAGATTCTTCTGTCAGTGTGTCTTCATGTGATGTTGTGGAAAATGGTGTGTAAACGGCGACGAAGGACCATCGACTGGTTCTGCATCAGTTTTTGAATTTCATAAATGCGTACATTTTCATAATAAATAGTGGTTTATTAGTAAATTCGTAAAGCAATGAAATGCTGGTCTCTTAGCAATTAGTATCTCATTCGATAAGATACTGAAACCAGTATCTTATTCCATGATATATTGATGTGTTTTAGCCACGCCAAACAATGCTAAGACCTCGTTTATAGAACGCGAATTGAAAGTTAATTCGCGATTAACTTTTAATTGAGGTAACGTGCATGCTTTAACCAATCACAGTCTCATATTTTTCCTTTCTACCCAGTCTGAAAGGTTGTTTCGGGGATAGTTTTTAAGGTTTACTTAAAAAAAAACTGAAATTGTATATAAATACTTCAGCTATTGATAATTAGGCAAATATTAAATTTCGACTTGATAGGAATATTTCTTAGGCTCAATCTGTAAGATTGTTTCGAGATAGTTTTTAGGGGTTGCCTAGGAAAAGATGAAATTTAGCATCAACACTGTTTGTATGTAAAAATAAACAAATGTCAAGTTTTCATTTGATGTATTTTAAAGCCGTAGGCTGCAAGGTAGTTTTGGATGCAGTTTTTAACGCTTTCTCCGAACGAGTTTTGCTTTGATTGGAGTATTTTTAAACTCGAGTCTGCAAGGCTGTTTTGGGGGTAGTTGTTAAGAGTTCCTTTGAAAACGCTGAAATTTCGCATCATTATTCCTCGTATTAAAAAATAAACAAATGTCGACTTTATTAGAGTATTTTTAACCCCCAGACTGCAAGGCTGTTTTGGGGTGATTTTTGAGGGTTTTTTCGAATGGGCTGAAATTTTGCATCAATAATCCTCGTATTGAAAACCTAGCGAATGTCGAGTTTTGACTTGATTAGAGCATTTTTAAGCCCCACTCTGCACGTCTGTTTTGGGGGTAGTTTTTAAGGGTTTCTCCAAATAACCTAAAATTTGGTGTCAGCAGTTCTCGTGTAGAGAAATAAAGAAGAACCAAATTAGGGCGTGGTTCGAACATTTTTAAGTGCCAGTCTGCAAGATTAACTGTGGTCTGCAAATTGAAACGCCTCTGCCCGTGAAGCAATATGTTAGCGTATACAATTTAAAACCCATGTGCTATGTAC